TAAAAATTGATATCCTAGGCTTTAGTGACCTGAAATAGACTGGTATTGGCCATTTTGAATATGCTTGGAATGACAAATTAAAGAGGAATGGCATCTCATTCATCATCAAAAAGAACATTTCAAAGTCTATTTTGAAGTACAGTGTTGTCTGTGATTAGGATAATATCCATATGCCTACAAGGAAGACCATTTAATACAACTATTATTAAAATTTACAAACCAAACACTAAATTCAGTGATGAGGAAATTGAAGAACTCTATGCAGGGTTGCTGTGAGTAGGAATCAATTCCACGGCACACCAACACCAACAACAACGTCTTTGGAGTCCTGGTGAGGCGCTGTGGGCTAATGTGTCAGACTGCAAAGTCATTTGAACTGCAAGATCGGTGGTTCAAGCTCACCAGCTACTCCTCGGAAACCCTATACAGGGTTGCTATGGGTCGGAACTGACTCGACGGCATTTAACAACAACAACAACACCAACGTCTTCAGTGAGCCCTGGTGGTGGTAGTTTTGTGCCATGAGTGAGCCTGGTAGCGTAGTGGATTACGAGCTGGGCTGCTAACCCTTAGATCAGTAGTTCAAATCTGCCGGTCACTCCCTGGGAAAAAGATAAGGTTTTGTGTTCCCATAAAGATTTACAGCATCAGATTCCCTATACAGGTTCGCTATGAGTCAGAATCGACTCCGTGGCACACACCAACTTCTTCTGTCTGAAATTCATCAAATATGCAATCAAGATGAATTGATAATTACTGGTGACTGGAATGCAAAGGTTAAAAATAAAGAGGAAGAATTAGTAGTTGGAAAATATGACCTTGGTAATAGAAATGATGCTGGAGATCTCATGATAGAATTTTGCACAACCAATGACTTCTTCATTGCAAATAAGTTTTTTTAAAACAATATAAAAGACAGCTATACACATGGACCTCACCAGACAGAATACACAAATATAATTGACTACATCTGTGGATAGAGACAGAGGAAAAGCTCCATATCATCAGCCAAAACAAGGCCAGGGAGAGACTGTGGAACAGACAGACCATCAATTGCTCATATGCTGAACATGAATGTTCATTCATGTTCAACAACAATGAATTGATTGATTACTGTCATTTTGCTGTGTGATTTTTTTTTTTTTTTTTTTTTGGTGGTGCTACTGCCTCTGGTAGCGTAGTGGTTACGAATCGGGCTGCGAACCTTAAGGTCTGTGGTTCAAAACTACCAGGCGCTCCGCGGGAGAAAGATGAGGCTTTCTACTCCCGTAAAGATTTATACCCTCGGAAACTCTGTACAGGGTCGCTATGGGTCGGAACCGACTCGATGCTCGATGGCACTTAACAACAACAACAACAACTGCCTCTGGTAGCGTAGTGGTTATGAATCGGGCTGCAAACCGCAAGGTCAGCAGTTCAAAACTACCAGCTGTTCTGTGAGAGAAAAGATGAGGCTTTCTGCTCCCGTAAAGATTTACAGCCTCAGAAACCCTGTACAGGGTCACTATGGGTCGGAACCAACTCCACGGCACAAAACAACAACAACAACAATAATTTCACTCAGCATAATGTCCTCCAGGTTCACGCATGTTGTGAGGTATTTGCAAATTCGTAGTTATTTTTCAAAGTTGTATACTAGTCCATTGAGTGTATTTAGCAAAGTTTAAGCATTCTTCTGTTGATGGGCATTTAGCTGTCTCCATCTTTTTGCTATTGTGAAGAGTGCTGCCATGAGCATGGCTGTGCATATAACTAGCATTGTCACAGTAGTCAGAGCTTAGTTTTATTGGTTTTCTTTTGTGGGTAACTTTTATTTTTTTCTGAGCTCATCTCAGAATTCTTTCCTTATCTTTTGTTTTGGATGTCATTAACAAAAAGATAAAATAATAAAGGAGAAAAAAATCAATAAAAACAGACAGCAACCAGAAAAAAGGACTATAATAACAAAAAGAAAAAAGAGGGATAAGAAATCGTAGCTATAGAAGAGAAAAATAAGATAGAAAATAAAAGGAAGAAAAACCCCAGAAAAATCAGGGGGAGGGAAGATGAAAAGAAAAAGAGAGTAGAGAGTAGTAAAAGAAGATCAAAAGGAAAAAAGAAGAAGGTAAATGGGAAACAGAAGAAAAGGAGAAATAAAAGCAGAGATAGGATAAAATTCAAGGGAACGGACAAAGAAGAAAGGAATATAATAAGAAATAAACAAACAAAAGCAACAAAACAATGAAAGGAAAAAAACAAAACCAAAAGAATCAGTGTAGTTGTTGGACCTGAAGAGGATAAAACTCTTGGGGGCTCCTGCCAGCCAAGGAACTCAAGAGGTGCATGTGGGAGGGATGCAACAATGGAGTTACTGGCCCTAGATGGAGTGCCTAGAGGCCTCGGTGTTATCTGTGTTCAGGGCATTCAATTCAGAAGTAGTTCATGGAGGCCCTTGATGGAGCTGGTTTCAGTGTCTGTTAGGACCACAGGGCAGCTGGGGTCAGGATGAGGGTTTCTGCTAGACTAATACTGGTCTGGTAGCTCTGTGGGTTCTGTAGATCTGAAGCTGAGCTGCCTGAATCCAGGCACCAAAGCAGCACAGCCCATCTTCACCTTACACTGATGTGGCTCACAATCATGGAGTTCTGAACTCCCAGAGAGGAGGGTCTTTGCTGGGGGTGTATGATGGTGGAAGTTGGTCAAACTTCTGATCAACTGGGGAGAATGGGGGGAAAGAAGGAATTGCACCATAAGAGCTCTGGTAGCGTAGTGGTTACGAATCGGGCTGCGAACCTTAAGGTCAGCGGTTCGAAACTACCAGCCGCTCCGGGAGAAAGATAAGGCTTTCTACTCCAGTAAAGATTTACACCCTCGGAAACCCTGTACAGGGTCGCTATGGGTCGGAACCGACTCAACGGCACTTAACAACAACAAGTAGTCTGTGTGAATCTGCTCTGCCAGGCCACCTTCTATTCTCAAAGCTGCTCACAAAAGTTCACTATGGTCATACTGTGTCTGGCTAGCCGTTCACTAGAAAGTTTCCCTCTCTCACTAGAAAGTTTCACTAGAAAGTTTCCCTCTCTCACAGTCCCTGCTCATCTTCTCCTCCCAGCAAGCACTCAATTCCCTTCTCTAACTTTTCCCCTGAAGTTCGGGGTTCCAGGATTTTCATTGGTATCTGTTTCATTGGTCTCTCGTATCTTTGTTGTAGAGGTTTTGTGTAGCTCGTTTGCCTAGTCTATCATCTTTCCAGGAGCCCCAATTATTCTTTTTTTTTTTTTTTAATCAAAATTCAAAAACACAACTGGCCCCAAGGGTTGGGAAAAAAAAGGATTATGGGTCTGTAAGTGTTTTGCAGAGAATTACAACACACAAAGGGATAGCTACCAATTGCTTACAGTTTTAATGGTCAGAGAGGACCCCTCTGGGGAGGCAACATACAAACTTAGTTTTGAATGACCTTTCCTGAAAAATGTGGTTATGCAAAGGTTAGGAGGAGAGCATTCCAAACAGAGAGAACAGCTAATGGATAGATGAACAGAGAGCAGGTCAGACCAGGTGAAGAGTAGTATGCATTGGTGGGAAAACATTAAGTAAACATAAATATTGTGAACCAGGTGCTAAATGCTTTGATGAATATGGTCTGGAGACCATGAGTGTAGTGGTTGGCAACAACTAGGAGAAACCAGAGGAAAATCTTCTTGAGTGGGAAAGTAGGTGGGGACATAATTCAGAGGAAACCTAAGGCAGGATGGGGCTGAAAAAATGTAGAGCAAGATTTATGACCTTGGATTGTGGGAAAATATGGATGGAAGGCAGGTGAGATGTCTGAGGGATTAGTTGGACTCAAGATTCTGATTTGGGATGCTGATGGAAAGATGCTCTAGAATGACTAGAGATCTGTGTCTTAACTGACAATCTCTGATTGATGTCCAATCTGCTGTGAACTTTTGGGCTTAAAATAGGTTAGACATAAACAGAGGAGACTATCACAGGCTAAGGTGATGAAAGATATTTTTGCTTCTCTGTTTATGCCTCTATGTTTGTGCTTCTCAGTAGCTCTGCTTCAGAATGTTTGTTTCCTAGTATCTTTGTCTCTTGGAGTCCTGGTGTGGCGTTGTAGGATAAGCACTGGACTGCTAACCACAAGCTTGGTGGTTCAAACCCACCAGCTGCTCCTCGGAAATCCTGTACAGGGCCGCTATGAATCGGAACCGCCTCCACAGCACTTAACAACATCTTTGTCTCTTAGTGGCTCTCCACATCCGTATTTCTGTGATCCTGTGTTGACATCTCTGTCCTTTATCTCAACGTATTTCTTTCTATGTGCCTCTGTATCTCAGAGTCTCCATATTTAGATCTTCATTTCTGTGTCCCAGAATCTGCTGTTCCTCCCTTTGTCTGTCAGTAGTATGTATAGTAAAAGTTGTTGTTGTTGTTATGTGCCGTGGAGCCGATTCCGACTTATAGCGACCCTGCATAGGGTTTCCGAGGCTGTAAATTTTACAGGAGCAGAAAGTCTCGTCTTTCTCCCGTGGAACAGCTGGTAGTTTGGAAATGCTGACCGTGAGATTAGTAGCCCGATTCGTAACTACTACAAAACCAGAGCTCTTTGTAGTGAAAGTACACATCTTTTATTATTCTTCTGGGTATCCCTAATGTCCCGCACAGAGTCTAGCATATAGGAGTGTCTCAAATACATCTGTACAGGAATCACGGCTTTTTCTGAGAAGAAAGGAACTCTCTCCCACGTTCCTCCCCCGCGGAGTTGGCAGCCTGCTACAAGGGGGTGGGTATGAGGGTATTGTGCTACTGTTGCTGGATTCTTTTCCGCGGTGAAGCAATTCTCTAAGGACACCTTGCTAGGACTTCGGGTTTCCACCAGAGGACAAGATTAACAGGCACCAACCCCGACATCCCGCGCGGCCAAGCTCTGGCCTCCTTAGCCCCGCCCCGTGACTTCACCTTGGCTAATCAGCGAGCGTCCGCGCAGACCTGCTAGTGAAGAGAAGCTGTGCAAAATGGCTGCTGTGTGTCGGAGTGTGAAGGTAGCGCGCTTTTCACCTCTGTTTTTTGCGTGGCTGGGACGGCCTTCGCCACTGTTTTTTGCGCGGCTTTAACGGCGCGAACTAGAGGGAAGAGATCGGTGCTGGGAGAAAGGGTCATGGTTTGGGCGGCGATTGGGTTCCGGAGGTGAAGGTCAACACTCGGCATACTTCAGGTGTGCAGTGACAGGGATAAGTCACTCAGAGGGTCTTGGGAAAAGGCCAGATGTAATAGCGGGGGTGGTAATTACAATAGCAACTGACCGTGTCCATCTTAACAGGGCCTGGTTGCGGTGATAACCGGCGGAGCCTCGGGTCTAGGCCTAGCCACAGCGAAGCGACTGGTGGAGCAGGGGGCCTCTGCTGTGCTTTTGGACCTTCCAAACTCGGATGGGGAGGCCCAGGCCAAGAAATTAGGAAAGAGCTGCGCCTTCGCCCCTGTAGATGTAAGTGGGGTCACTTCTCCCAGGGTGTGCACGAGTTTACAGACAACGACCTGGGTACCCATGGGATCCTTTCCATTAAAGTGGTAGCTTACGATTAATCTCACAGTCAGCAGTTCGAAACTACCAGCTGTTCCGCTGGAGAAAGATGAGGCTTTCTGCTCCCATAAAGATTTACAACCTCGGAAACCTACAGGGTCACTATGAGTCTGAACCGACTCCACAGCACACTGCCACCACCGCTATGTGGCCCATTGGACCTGAGCCTTAAGCATTGTGGGATGTCAAAATCTCTAAAGTTGGGTTTCATAAGAACAGGGATGAGGATTGGACATACCAGGATCTCCTGGAGGGGGTATGTGTTGTTTGAAAATACATACTGTGATTTTAATTTTACATTTAGAAAGTGGGAGAACTTGTTTTTATTAAACCACTGAAAGTTAAGCTTGATGAAATCATCTTAGTAGGTAGAGAAATGGAAAAGCTAGTTTATTTTTATATCAGTAATTTTCAAAGGAGGAATATATTAGTGCTCTGATCTACAATGATTGAGAATCTCCAAGGGTGTATGAATTTATCAAGAGTGTGGATTTGAAAAATTATTTGAAACACTGCCCTAAAAGACCTAACATTTTCCACTTAGGCCCACCCACTCTGTCAAGTTCCACTATAAATTTCTCTTGGTTTCTCCCTAGTTTATACAGTTCTGGGCCTGTCTTTACCCTCCCCTGCCCCTAAATTAAATTTAGCGGTGGACTGGGAGAAGCAATAGCATCTCCACTTCTCCTTTTGAAGGTGACCTCAGAGAAGGACGTGCAAGCAGCCCTGACTATAACCAAAGAAAAGTTTGGCCGAGTGGATGTCGCAGTCAACTGTGCTGGCATTGCAGTGGCCATCAAAACCTACAACTTAAAGAGGAGCCAGGCCCATAACTTGGAGGACTTCCAGCGAGTTCTTAATGTAAGACCTGAGGTTCTCCTTGGATAGGATAAGAGGCATCTGACTGTGAATATACACACTGCCTCAGGTCTTACATTGTGTGTCTACCTGTTCTCCAGGTAAATCTCATAGGTACCTTCAATGTGATCCGCCTTGTAGCTGGAGAGATGGGCCAGAATGAACCAGATCAGGGAGGCCAACGAGGAGTCATCATCAACACTGCCAGTGTGGCTGCCTTTGAGGGCCAGGTATGTAGTTAAGGGCAAGGCTTGTGAGTCCTCTGACTTGTTGGAGCCTCCCACGTATGACCTTCCCTCTTCCTTTTCCAGGTTGGACAGGCTGCATACTCTGCTTCCAAAGGGGGCATAGTAGGCATGACACTGCCCATTGCCCGGGATCTGGCTCCCATAGGCATCCGGGTAATGACCATTGCTCCAGGTAAATATATCCCCTCCTTGCCACACTTGGGGTTGTGGGGGATCTATGGGTAATTTAGAGGGAAAAGTACCACCTAAGCAGGAGCAGACCCCCATCTCTGGGCCCTAGGGATGCATCAAGAAGTAGGGCTAAGGTGAGAAAGGACTGGGTGAATGTGAAAACAAGTGTGGGTCTCTGACTATAACTGTCTTATCTAGGCCTGTTTGGCACTCCACTGCTGACCAGCCTCCCAGACAAGGTGCGCAACTTCTTGGCCAGCCAGGTGCCTTTCCCCAGCCGACTGGGTGACCCTGCTGAGTATGCTCATCTGGTACAGGCCATAATTGAGAACTCATTCCTCAATGGAGAGGTCATCCGGCTAGATGGTGCAATCCGCATGCAACCTTGAAAGGAGATGGCAGAGAGAATGCATCCCCCTCTGCCATTCTTTTAAGGTACTAGACTCCAGCTTGAAAGGAATCCTAGTAACCACTTTACCCACCAGTCACCCTCTGTGCCTAATAAAGTCTGTATTTCTCACAGGGAGTGGGCAGTACTATGTGCTTGGGGAACTGACATGGGGAAGCAAGCAACTAGGGTGAAGGCTCTGACAGGGTTGGCTGCTCAGAGCCCTAAGGTTGGGTGGGAGAAGCAGTACCTCATCTTTTGTATCTTATTACAACACTTGGCCTTGATTTCAGTGAATAACTTTATTACTTAGGGTAGATGGTAGGAGTTTGGGTTCATTTTCCTACCACTGGGTAATGGATTGGGGGTGGGCGTATGTGGGGGTATGCATTATTTTCCTCTTTGACCCATAGCCTTCATAAGAGCTTGATGGAGAATGGGGAGAAGACCATCTTGAGTTCAGCGACTGCTGGTATTGAATTGTAGGTGATATTGGACTGTAGGTTGATTGGTGTAGATTATTGAATTCAGGTGAATGGATTGGGGGTGGGCATATGTGGGGGTATACATTATTTTCCTCTTTGACCCATAGCCTTCATAAGAGCTTGATGGAGAATGGGAAGAAGACCATCTTGAGCTCAGCGACTGCTGGTGTTGAATTGTAGGTGATATTGGGCTGTAGGTTGATTGGTGTAGATTATTGAATTCAGGTAATTCTGGCTGTAAAAGAAATTCAGAGGCCTCAGTTGATGTCCTTTCCCCTCTCTCCCTTCATCTTGATATCCCTCCTCATTATTATCCCCTAAAATAGAAAACTCACTGTGCTTTTTGCTCGTTAGCTAGCTGCTGATTGAAGGAACCCAGTCCCCTTCGAAATTCAGCACCCAGTTCCCTCTCCTGCTGCTCCAGCTCCAGCGCTGCTTGGGTCCAGAGCATGGTCTGGCTTTCCCATTCAGCATCCAGTTTTTTTTCAGCCTGGCGCTGTGCTTCCTTTGCATAGTACTGCTCCTCTTGGACTTTTCTGATGGCAGCTCGCTGCTCTGGAGTCATGCCCTTCCAGCAATAGGGCAGGACCCGGTGGGGAGCAAGACGGTTTTGGGCGACTTGAGGGTTCTCGGTCAGCAGGTCACTTGTAATGTGGCTTTGAATATCCATAAGGTTGGCTGCCTCTCTCTGCTGATACTCATGATACTGCCACTCAGCCAGCTGAGCTACCTGGTGGGGCACCCTGAGTGTTAGCATTTGAGTGCCATCCTCATGGAACTTTGCGTTGTGGGGGCAGCGGGGTTATGGGACCCTATTCTCTATCTTAGAAAAGGAGCAGATACTGCATAGCCTCTTAATGACCCTTGAGGTGAGGGTAAGGGTGAATAGGCAGGGAACTTCTTTGCCCTTAGGAAGCCCTTAGAAAGAGGCTGGGATGGGAAGCTCGTGCTCTGTTCTCAAGTCATCCTGAATCTGGAGGTGGGGAGAGGCGTGGCGTTTTCTGCCCTAACAGAATCCTTAGGTGAAGGGAGGACTCCTTAGGTAGAAGGAAGAATAATGTGGCTAAGTTTCTGCAGGACTTTGTTCAGGGGTTTAAGGGGAGCATAGTGCACTGATGACTCAGATCGTACCTGTGCTTTGTTGACACTGGCTACAGAAGACATCATGGCCATTCGATAGGACTCCTCCATTTTGGCCAGGTGAATGGCCTGCATATCCATGCCTAGACACAGCTGGTCATTAAGCGTATCTACACAGAAATATGGCTTGAACATTATACTGCCCTCCATTTCTGGTTCACTTGTTCAGTTACTTGTTCAACAAGCTTTGTGCATATGTGTATGTGTATGTTTGGGAGGGGAGTAGTATCTGCAATGTAGGGCATGTGGAAGGAGCTACTCTTTGGGACTAAGGATAGCCAAAGTGGTAGCAACAAGCAAGTGATTGGTGAAAGATGCCTCCAGTAGACTTGGGTTCCAATGCCAGATCTGCTGCTTCTAAGGTATGTGACCTTGGGTAAATAAATAATTTCACCTCTCTGAGCCTGTATCCTTATGTGTTGGGCTCCAAGGACACCACTGGTTCAGATCCTGTCCTCAGAGAGCTTAGAGTCTGGTGAGGGAGACAGATTAAACTGGTGATCATACAACAATGTGGTAGAAGCAATGATAGCGATGTACAGGCGATTTTGAGAGCTTTGGGTAGTGAGTAAAGGGAAGTTTTCCAGGAGGAGGTGATCCTTAGAATATGTTTTGTATATAGTCAAAAATAGCAAAGGACATTCCAAGCTGAGGGCACCAATTTTTAAATTCCAGCACAGTAGTCTCCTTGCTGTGCCTAGAATATACCTCAGGGATTTGTAATAAGTGTTATTCTTGGCCCCCTGCTTTCTTGCCTCCCTTTTTTTCCAGTGCAACATTCCCTGGCTGCCCAGCCTAAAATTGCAACTTGTCTACCCCCCATTTATCCTCTCCTCCCCTAATTTTTCTCCTTAGTATGATGTTGTAGGATAAGTACTGGACTGCTAACCACAAGTTTGGTGGTTCAAACCCACCAGCCACTTCTTGGAAACCCTATAGAGGGTCTCTATGAGTTGGAACTGACTCGACAGCACTTAACAACAACAATATACACTTTATCATTTTATTTATTGCCTGTCTCCTCACTAGAAGGCAGTCTGTCATTCATTGCCATGCCCCAGCATTTAGTTCAGAGCTTGGCACATAGTAGGTGCTCAATAAATATTTGTCAAATGAGTGAAGGAAATCAAGAAACAGCATAGTGTATATCTTAAACAACAAATAGTCTGTTTCTGGAGCATAACTTGACCTTGAAGGTGGTGGGGAATATGGAAGGATTTAAGCAAGGGGGTGACATTGTTAGCTTTGCATTTTAGAAAGCTACTTCTGGTGACCGATATAGAGGACAGTCAGGCTGGTGGGGAGACAGACAGGGTGGGAATCCACCCTGAAGGATATCTACAGTAGGCCAGTTGGAGGGTTCAACTAGGCTAGTGATAGAAAGGTTGGACGGGATATACAGGACATCAGCAGTACTTGATGGATTGGATGCAGGAATAAAGAGAGGAAGGATTCAGGGATGCTTCCCAGGCTTTTGGCTTCAATGAATGGGTGGATGATGTGACCATAACCAGAAGTAGAGAATACAGAATGAAGAACACTAATGCTGTCACTGTGTAGGACGTGTTGAGTTGGAGGTGGTCAGCAGGTATTTGGATATTTGATTCTGCAGGTAAAGAATGGTAGTTGAAAACCAGAAAGAAGGTTAAGAACACCTGAGGTGAGTATGCAGGGTTAAGTAAGGAGAACAATATACCTGAGACAGAGTCTCAAGAAGGAAGGAGTAAACAGAAGAGTTGCTCACAAAGGGCAGACAGAGGAGTAGTCAACTATGAGCAGAATGTGTCACAGAAACCAAAGGAACAGAGTTATAAGAAGATGTGATCAGTCAAATGCAGTAAGAAAGGTCTGATCAAGGGGAAAAAAAACCCCAAAACTACAAGCCTCGTGTACCTAATGACAAAGTTGTTAAGTGCTGTCAAGTTAGTTCTGACCCATAGTGACCCTGTATAGTGTTTCCCAGGAGCGGACTGGTGAGCTTGAACCTTGCGGTTCAAACTGACTTTGCAGTCCAGTACATTAACCCACAGCGCCATACCAATTAATTTTAGTTAAGAAGAGTTTCAGTGAAGTGTGGGTAGAAATTAGACCTCAGGGAGTTAAGATGTGACTGAAAAGTTGGGAAGAAAAGGCAGTAAGTGGAAAACAGATTTTTGAAAAATTGTGACTGTGAAGGAAACACATACTCAGTATACAGAGGAATTAGGATTCAGCAGCTTTTTTTTTTTTTTTTTTTTTAAGGTGGGTTAGATGAAAGCATATTTACAACCTGCACAAAAGGGTCAGTACAAAGGAAAATGTTGAAAACAGAAGGGATATCTGAGGAAGCACAGCTTAAGGGAAGGCAGGGAAGAATGGGGTGAAAAGCACAGGCTGAAGACTTGGCTTTTAAGATGTATAGGGATGCTAACATCAGAGATTGAAGGGTAAGAGAGGAAGAAAAGACAGGGGTATGTTGTTTCATTTTTAATTTTCACAGAAACCCAGAGGGGAAAGGATCAGCTGCATTTCAAGATGAAAAAAATGAGAGGTTAAGTAAAATTGCCCAAGGTTACATAACCAGGAAGCACTTCTCACTTCATTGCCCTTACATTACACTCAGCACTCTCCCTCAACCTGGTGTCCCTGATACATTACTCTGCCATCTCATACATCTGCCTGCTGCCAAGTGGCAGCTAGCCCCCATAGTGTCATTGAAACTGTTCTGACAAAAATCACCAAACTCCTCATTTCCAAATCCAATAGATAGTTTTCTGTACCTATTTGGAATTCTCCAAGATATTTGACATTTTTGACCACTCCCTCTTTGAAACTCTTCTCTAGGTTTCTGAGTCTCCATTTTCTCTTGACCGAGAAAAGGAAGAGTGGTTGAGAACGTAGGTTCTGGGATGACCCTGCCTGAGTTTACTCACTAGCTATATGAATTTGGGAAAATTATTTTAACATCTCTGTTCTTCAGTTTCCTCATCTGAAAATTAAGATATTAGTACTTGCCTCACAAGAGTTGTTTTGAGGCATAAATAATACAAGGTGAAGTGCTTAGCACAATTTCTAGTATACAGTAAGTATTCAGTAAAGGTTAGCTATCATCATCATTTTATGCATCTCTTCTATTTGCCTGATCCCTTCCCAGTCTTTATTATGGGTGTCTCTTCCTCTATGTTTATTTAAGATACTGAGCATCTACAATGTACCAGGTACTGTCTAAATGACTGAGGGTATAATGGTTAATGAGAAAGTCCTGAGCCTAGTCCTCACAGAGTGCACCATAGGCTCGCTCTTTCTCCAGGCTCAGCTTTTTTTTTTTTTTTTTTCATTTACCTGTCCATACTCACAGATCTCTCCCTCCAACCCAGACTAAATTTCAGGGTCATATAGCTACATGCCTGTCTGCCAACTACCTCCTCTTGGCTGCAATAATCTATCTGGCCTCCCTACCTGTAATCCAACCTCAACATTGGTTGAATTATCTGCTAAAACATAAATCATGTGACTTCAATGCTCAAAACCTTCCTGTGATTCCTACTTCCCTTAGTAAAAACTGAAATCCTCCACCATGTCTATAAGATTGTGATCTGTCCCCTATCACTTCCTACCACTTTTCCCCTTATTACTCTCTGATTCAGCTTCTCTGGCCCTGCTGCTGCTATTTCTCAAACATTTCAGGCACACTCTCCTGCCTCATGGCCTTTACACTATTTCCTTTGGACAGTTCTGTCCCCAGTTCACTTCCTCATCTTCAGATCTGTATGCAAAATGTTTACCGCAGTGACTTTCTTTATGCCAAATTGCAACTGTGCACCCCCCTTCAAAAATGCTTTGTTTTTCTCCCTAGCAGTTAGCTTCACTTTATGTATTACATATTTCATTATTTTCTCTTGCTTATTGTCTGTCTACCCCCATTAGAATGTGAATTCCATGAGAGCCAGAATTTTTCTGTTTTGTCTACTGTGCCAGCACAAAGTCGGTAGCTTAGTATTGCTTGTCACTACCCTACTTAAAACCTTTAAGTGCCTACATGATAAAGTGAAAATTACTTAGTTTGGTGAAGAAGGTTCTTGCCTATGTCTTCTTCCTCTGACATTCTGCACTCAACTGTTGTACATCCCTCATACACAAACTATTTACAGCCCTGGTGTGCTGCTTCTGCTTAGAATGGCCTTTTTCTGTTTTTTCACTCCTACCCCAGCAAAATTTTACACAACTTTCCAGAATTAGTTTCTAACAATTGGCCTGTGCCACTCTGCCTCCCTCTCCTTATAAGAACTGACCATCCATTTTGAGGTCTCCTACATGTCCTATATGTATGGCGCTGTGGGCTAATGCATCAGACTGCAAAGTCATTTGAACTGCAAGGTCGGTGGTTCAAGCTCAACAGCTGCCCCTTGGAAACCCTATACAGGGTCGCTATGGGTTGGAATCGACTCAACGGCACTTAACATGTCCTAGATATAATATCATAATACCTGTAACAATGTTTAACACCGAATTAAAGCACAAATATTTGTTGATGAATTACTTGTTTACTTGTGTACATATCTTTACCTCTTAAATGCAGGGGTGTTGTTAAGTACCGTCAAATAGGTTCTGACCCATATCAACCCTGTATAGGGTTTCCTAGAAGTGACTGGTGAGCTCAGACCACTGACCTTGGTTTTTTTTTTTTTTTTTTGCAGTCCAGCGCATTAACCCACAGTGCCACATCAGGACTCCCATATAGGGTTGGGGAACCTTTTTTTTCTACCAAATTTCATAACATTTGCAGGCCATATAAAATTACCAACTTAAAAATTAGCCTGCTATATTTGGTCAAACATTTAATTAACTCACTCCTAATATGAAGGAGCTCTGGTAGCGTAGTGGTTACGAATCGGGCTGCGAACCTTAAGGTCAGTGGTTCGAAACTACCAGCTGCTCCGCGGGAGAAAGATGAGGCTTTCTACTCCCGTAAAGATTTACACCCTCGGAAACCCTGTACAGGGTCGCTATGGGTCGGAATCGACTCGACGGCACTTAACAACAACAACAACAACAATGTGATGGCTGGAACTGTGGTGCCAGACCAAATGATTGCACGGGCCTTATACAGCCAGCGGACCAGACGTTCCCCACCTCTGTCTTAATGGAAACTGATTTTCAGGAATACATTACTTTATGGGCTCCTGGAAGGCAGGGGCCCCTGTCTGTTTTATTTTGTTCAACTGTTAATTCAACAATGATTTATTGAGCTTCTGGTACAGCAGCAGGCATTGTATTGGGGCATAGAGTTGGAAATGACAGCTATGGTTCATCAGTGAGCTAACATTTGGGGGAGAAGATAGACATTTAAGGAAATACCTTCACAACTAGTTACAAATGTAATGAGTGGGTACAATAGAAATTGAAAGGTGAGCATTGTGTGTGAATAAAGACAAGGTAAAGGAGCCCTGGTAGCGTAGTGGTTACGAATCGGGCTGCGAACCGCAAGGTCAACAGTTCGAAACTAACCAGCTGTTCCGCAGGAGAAAGATGAGGCTTTCTGCTCCCGTAAAGGCTTACAGCCTCGGAAACCCTGTGCAGGGTTGCTAAATTGGAACCAACTCCACGGCCATAATCACCACCACCACCACTCTAATGGAAGAGAAAGATGTGGCCACTGATAATGTAATAATGTTAAGTGCCATCGAGTCAGTTCCTCTCATAGTGAAGACCCTGTATAGGGTTTCTGAGGAGAGGCTGGTGGGTTTGAACTGCTGACCTTGTGATTAGTCCAGTACTTGCCCTATAGTGCCACGCAGTAGCTACTAATTATTGAGCTTATACTTTACATCAGTATATCATTTCATTATTATAAGAACTCTATATGCTATTATCTGTATTTTAAAGATAAAGGAAACCGAAATACAGAGAAGAAAATAATATTGTGGCAGAGTCATTAGGTCTGTCCACTGTACTGCCTCCAATGACTTACTTGTTGTTGTTAAGTGCCGTCGAGTCAGTTCTGACCCATAGCAACCTTGTACAGGGTTTCTGAGGGTGTAAATCTTTACAGGAGTAGAAGCCTCATCTTTCTCCCGCGGAGCGGCTGGTAGTTTTGAACCACTGACCTTAAGGTTCGCAGCCCAATTCGTAACCACTACGCTACCAGAGCTCCTTAATCCAGTATGTACTTGGAATCTATTTTGGAATGACTTACTAGGGAACAATAATTATACTGTGAGACAAGTCAAGGAGGTTGGACTGCCTAATCTAATCTTGCAACATCAGCCCCGTGGGTTGAGTTGGACCTCCCTACACAGTCGTAGTCTCTTGGATATTGCACTTAGATCTGGAGAACTTCCCACTAAGCCCCAGGTTTCTGAGGCTATAGGGCCTGGCTGCTTACCTGAATACTGCTCGTCAAGTCTGGCTTGTTGTTGCTCCTGCAGCTGCCTCTCCAGGTTGTACCTGTACTGGTCCTGCTGCATTCTCAAGAATGTAGTCCTGTCTTGATCTTCCCCAGAGAAGTACTGGAGGCTGGCTGGGCCACAGTGGGGGTCAGTGTTACCAGGTTGGGCTGAAAACTCCTGAAGTCCGTTTGGATCCCAGAGGCCAAATTCATGTCTTTTCTTGAGCTGCTGCTTCTGCTCCCGAAACTCCTGCATTTTTTTGGCCAACCGACGTGTCCTTTCTGCCTCTTCCTTCTCTAGCATTTGAACTACTAGATCATACTGCGCCTGGTTGGTCCCTGTAGGTGATTGGACATGTATAAGGCTCCATGGGAGGGACAGAGGCCATCCAGTATGGCCTTAGCTCCCAAGGCCCATATGATTTACCTACCACCCCTGGCCCTCAGGTCTCACTCAGAGCCAGAGCTGCCCTACTTCAGCCCACTCAGGTCTTTACTTTCCCACCCCCTGACCTTGAGGCTTTTACCATAAACGGCATCCCTGTTCCGCTCTGTTGCCTCTCGAAGCTTTTGCTCTGCAACCTGGCTATTTAGTGCTTCAACATCCACCTGGTTCCAATGAAATGAACATTAGGTCAGGGACCCATCAGGAGGCCTTGGATTCACTAACACAAACTGCTTATAATTTACCTATTCCAAAATAGATTCCAAGTACATACTGGATAAAGTTCCAATGCCTCTGTATGGCTGTTTAATTCCCCCAGTTACCTAGCCTATGTCACGCCTTCTCTGCCTCATCTTTTTGTACCCTCTTCCTTTGTCCCATCCACTATAACACTAGCCTTGGGAGATCTGCACATCTTGAGATGTTCAAACCTATAGGCCTTTAATAAGCTGCTCTCCACTTGGAACTCTTGCCTCATTTCTTTACTAGAACTCATATCCATCTTTAAGATCAGCTCAGGTTTCACCTTCCTTACTCCTCTGACTCGTACTACTCCCACAGATTATAGTACCCACTGTACGCATTATATTGAAGTCTGTCTAAATTATTGCCTTCACTAGGCTGTGAGTCCTTCTAAAAGGCAGACTGGGCCTTATTACACTACCTAATACAATGGTTGGTACGGAGCAGGCTGTGAGGAAATATTTGCTAGGTAGATCTCAACAAACCACTCATCCCTAAGCTTGTGTCATGCTCTGGGTTTCAGAGTTGCCACCATATGTTAATCATTACCTCAAAACTTCCTTTTTTTTAGCCTCATTTTATAGAAAAGGACCCTGGAACTGAGAGAAGACAGACATCTAGTAAACAGATTGGACAGGCCCTTGAATACAGGTTTGGTGTCTTCCAGAATACCATCTTGCGTCCCCCTCTATTTACCTATTTAACAATCTTTTTTCTCCCCTTAAACTATCAATTCTTTCTTGATTTTGATTATAATTCACTTAGAATGTTCCAAAATAGTAAAAATGGGAAAGCAGTTTAGTGAAGAGTAAATTTCCCTCCCATCTCTGCCCCTCATTCAGGTTACCAGTTTCTTATACAGGCATACCTTGGAGATATGGGTTCGGTTCCAGACCAACCCCAAAAAGTGAATATCATAAAATGAGACACAAATTTTTGGGGGTTTCCTAATACACATAAAACTTATTGAACTCTGGTAGCATAGTGGTTACAAAGCGGGCTGCTAATCTCATGGTCAGCAGTTCGAAACTACCAGGGAGAAAGATGAGGCTTTCTGCTCCTGTAAAGATTTACAGCCTCGGAAACCCTGAACTATAAGTCGGAACCGACTCCATGGCACATAACAAAACAACAACATAGTCTATTAAGTATGTAATAAACATGAAACAATTTGAAATACTGTGAGAACTGTGACACAGAGACATGAAGTGAGCACATGCAGGGAAAGAAACTGAGAGGAGGAGCTGGTGACAACTAACTATTCTTAGGTCATTTTTGGACCATGTGGCCTGGTTCTGAAAAAACAGTCAACATGGAGCCAAAAGAAATCTGAAGAAATACTTGGTATTATATATGCCTAGGGAGTTCTGGTGTGACACTGTAGGATAAGCACTGAACTGCTAACTGAACTGAAGGTTTGTGGCAACACTGTGCTCAATGCAGGGTTGCCACAAGCCTTCAATTTGTAAAACATGTAGTATCTGCGAAGTGCAATATAGTGAAGAACAGCAAAACAAGGTACACCTGTTTAGCCCTCTAGAGGTAGTTTGTTGTTAAGTGCTGTTGAGTCGGTTCTGACTCATAGTGACCCTGTATAGGAATTCTGAGGAGCAGCTGGTGGGTCTGAACCACTGACCTTGCAGTTAACAGTCCAGTGCTTATCCTAGGCACATATGCTGCTGCTGCTGTTGTGTGTCACTGAGTTGGTTCTGACTCAGCGATTCTGTGTGGGGTTTCCGAGGAGCGGCTAGTGGGTTTGAACTGTCGACCTTGTGGCTAGCAGTCCAGGCTTATCTTACAGTGCCACATCACAACTCACAGGTAGTTTTGGCATATATAATACCAAGTATTACTTTAGATCTCTTTTGGCTCCATATTGCCTTTATTTCTAGAACCAGGCTACATACATGGACTAGAAGTGACCTAAGAAGTGGTTCCTCTTCTCTCAGCCTCTTCCCTGCATCCTCTATAACCCCTTTCCAGGCCTGTAGGATGGGTGCCTTCTATTCTTCTTCCTTTCCAGCTTTAAGACTTACTCAAATTAGGGGAAGTGCTATAATAGACACTGTATCACTGAGGGTTAATGCGCTGGACCGCAAAGTTTGAACCACAAGATCAGTGGTTCAAGCTCACCAGCTGCTCCTCGGAAACCTTATACAGGGTTTCTATGAGTCAGAACTGACTCCATGGCACTTAACAACAACAACAATAGTCTCTAGGCCCATGGGACTGAGAAAGGCCCCAATGCCTACTCACCCCTATGACTCGGTTCCGCACATTGAAGAATCGATTCTTTCGTTCCTCTTCTTGATTTTTTCTAGCCTCAATGGCTTCCAACTCCTTGGGGTCTGATGAAAGATCTACCTTATACATCCTGGAGCAAGGGTGAAGCAGAATGGCTAATCAGTGCTGACCATCATCCTTGACTATGTCTCCCTCTTTTCTTCCCACAATATCCCACCAGGCATTTATTACTATGGTTCTAAATACATTGCATTTTCTGTGTCTTCCATCTCTGCTGTCACCTCCCTAGTTTAGGCCTCACAATCTGGTACCATACAACATCCCTGGAGCTTCATTGGTGTCCCTTGCTCCAGTGTTACACTTGCTAATTCTTTCTCTGTACTGGCTACCACAGTGATCTTTTTGAAAGCAGACCTGAACATGACACTCCTCTCAGCTTAAAATCTTTTAAAAGTAGCTTTAAAAACAAAATTTTTTAAAAAGGCCTTATTGTGAATTGAGTGAATATATCAGAACATATCAGTCCCAGTCCTACATTCAACAAAGTATATACTGTGTCTTTACAATGATTGCAATCTACTCCATGTAACATCAGTTAACAGTATTTCTACTCACTTAAGTTTTTTTCCTTCCCCTCAACCCCCCACCTATCTTGTAACCATTATAGAATGTTTGATTTAGCAAGAAAATATTTTCTTAACTTTTTACACAGGTCTCATGTAATATTTATCCTTTTGTGATTGACAAATTTCACTCAGCTTATAATGTCCTCAAGGTTCATCCATGTGAGGTGTTTTGCAGAATCTTCACTATTCTTCAGTGTTGTGTAATATTCCATTGTGTGTATGTACCAAAGTTTGTTTAACATTCTTATGTTGATGGGCATTTAGGCTGTCTATTGTGAATAATGCTGCAATGAACATGGATGTGCATTTAACTAGACATGCCACAGCTCTTATTTATTGAGGAAATGTATATCAAATGGACTTCTGGTGTAGTGCTGTAGGATCAATGCTGGACTGTGAACCACAAGGTCGACAGTTCAAATGCACCAGCTGCTCCTTGGAAACCCTATACAGGGTTGCTGTGAGTCGGAACCAACTTGATGGCACGTAACAACATACCACCTAGAGGGACTGCTGGGTCGAACAGTATTTCTATTTCGAAATTTTTGAGAATATGCCATACTGTTTTTCACAGTGGTTGTACCATTTTATACCAGCAGTGTAGGACTCCCAGTCTCTCCACACCTTTGCAAACATTTGTTTTCTGTTTTTTGGAGCTTTGCTATTAAGGAGTAAGATGATATCTCATTGTTGTTTTTATTTGTATTTCTCAATGGTTAATATCCCACCTGAATTTAGAGGTCATCTGAAGAGTAGATTTGATGTATTAGACACTAAAGACCACAGACCAGAAGAGTTGTGGGATGACATCAAGAACACCATACAGGGGAAAAACTAAACAAACATCATACAGGAAGAAAGCAAAAGGTAATTAAGAAGATAAGAAAGAAGGAAAAGACCAAAATGGATGTCAGAAGAGACTCTGAAACTTGCTCATCAGCATAGAGAATGCTAAAGCAAATAGAAGAAATGAGGAGGTAAAAGAGCTTAATTGAAAATTTCAAAAGGCAGTTCAAGAAGATAAAGTCAAATATCATTATTAAATGTGCAAAGACCTGGATTTAGAAAACCAAAAGGGAAGACCACACTCAGCATTCCTCAAGCTGAAGAAACTGAAGAAAAAATTCAAGCCTCAACTTGAAATATTGAAGGATTCTATGGGAAAAATATTTAATGATGTAGAAAAGCATCAAAAGAAGATATAAGAAATATACAGAGTTACTGTACCAGAAAGGAATGGTCTGAGTTCAACCATTTCAAGAAATAGCATATGATCAAGAGCCAATGATAGTGAAGGAAGGGGTCCAAGGTGCATCTGAAGGCACTGGTAAAGAATAAGGCTCTCGGAATTGAAATCTTTCAACAAAGTGATGAAGCACTGGAGGCACTCAACTCATCTATGCCAAGAAATTTGGAAGACAACTACCTGGCCAACTGACTGGAAGTGATCCATACTTGTGCCCATTCCAAAGAGAGGTGACCCAACAGAATGTGGAAATCATTGGACAATATCATTAATATCGCATGCAAGTTAAATTTTGCTAAAGATAATACAAAAATGGCAATTGCCAGAGGTTCAAGCCAGATTTAGGCAAGGACATAGAATGAGGGATCTCATTGCTGACGTCAGATGGATCTTGGCTGAAAGCAGAGAATACCAGAAAGATGTTTACCTGTGCTTTATTGACTACACAAAGACTTTTGATCGTGTGGATCATGACAAGCTATGGACAACATTGTGGAGAATGAGTATTGGGAACACTTAATTGTGCTTGAGGAACCTGTACACAGACCAAGAAGCAGTAGTTCAAATAGAACAAGGGAACACTAAATGGCTTAAAATTAGGAAAGGTGTGTACCAGAGTTGTGCTCTTTTTGCCATATTAATTCAATCTGTATGCTGAGTACGTAATCGAGAAGCTGGATTATATAAAGAAGAACGTGGCATCAGGATTGGAGGAAGACTCATTAACAACCTGTGATACACAATGTAATCTTGCTGGCTGAAAGTGAAGAGGACTTAAAATACTGATGAAGATCTAAGACCACAGTGTTTGGGATGGGTTGCAGCTCAATGTAAAAAAAACAAAAATCCTTACCACTGGACCAATAAACAACATCCATAAAAATGGAGAAAAGATTGAAGTTGTCAAAGACTTCATTTTGTTCAGATCTACCATCAACACTCATGGACTCCTGGTGTGGCGCTGTGGGTTAATGCGCCAGACTGCAAAGCCGTTTGAATTGCAAGGTTGGTGGTTCCTTGGAAACCCTATACAGGGTCGCTATGGGTCGGAATCGACTCGATGGCACTTGACAACAACAACAACAACCATCAACACTCATAGAAGCAGCAACCAAGAAATCAAAGGATGGTTTCTTGATTTGCATGAGGCAAATCCACTGTACAAGTGTTCAAGAGCAAAGATGTTAGTTTGAGGACTAAAGTGCACCTGAACTTTATGTTATGTCATGGTATTTTCAGTAACCTCATATGCATGTGAACGTTGGACATTGAATAAAGTAGACCGTAGAAGAATTGATGCATTTGAGTTATGGTGTTGGAGGAGAATATTAAAAGAACCATGGACTGCCAAAAGAATAAACCAATCTGTGTTGATTGATCCTTGTCAGCCAGGATGGCCAGAATTCATCTCTCATATTTCTGACATATTATCAGGAGGCACCAGTCCCTGGAAAAGGATATCATGTTTGGTAAAGTGGAGGGTGGGATAAAAAGAGGAAGACCCCCTAGGAGATGGTTGATTCAAGTGAAGCAATGACTGTGAGGCTGGTGCAGGACTGGGCAATGTTTTATTCTGTTGTGCATAGGTTCACTATGAGTCAGTAATGCCTCTATGGCACAAAACAACAATTTTGAGACTCTTTCATTGGGGGGATATGTATTTATTACTGTCATATCCTTTTGTTCAATTGACTCCTTAATCATGATATAATATCCTTCTTCATCTCATATGCTGGTTTTGCCTTAAAGTCTATTTTATCAGAGATTAAAATTGCCACTCCTGCTTGTATTTGATTGCCATTAATTTGGTTGTTGTTGTTGTTAGGTGCCATCAAGTCGGCACCGACTCATAGTGACCTTATGCACAGCAGAACGAAACAATGTCCAATCCTGGGCCAACCTCACTACTGTTGCCACACTTGAGTCCATTGATGCTGCCACCTGGCCAATCCATCTCGCTGGGGGTCTTCCTCTTTTTCTCTG